GAGTAAGGAAGGTTGAGAAGGAGTTTTGGAAAATGTTTTCCCTTCTCTTGATAAGGAAAACATTTTCCTTCCATGAGTTCATAAGAAAAATATTTTCCAAAACATTTAAGCCAACCAAACATGGAAAAATTGAAAAACATTTTCCGGAAAATATTTTCCTTCGTACCAAACACACCCTATATCTTGTGTCATTTTGACCATACCATAACCAATGACATGCCGAAAGTCCGGCGGTGGGGGTGCGAGTGAGGACGGAGAAAATTGTTTTGAATATGTTACTACACCCTTTACGTCATTCTTATGTCACTTCTGCAAAATTGCTATTCGGAATTGTTCTTAGTTATATTAACTCAACAGATAAAACAGAAAAACTAAAAGAAAACAACGGAACCGTGGTGAAGAATGATAATAGTTCACTCTTTTCTCATTTCGCATATTTAATGTCATTTCCTGATTCTCTTTTCAGCTATGTTTTGAATTTTGTTTATGCAATAACGAGAAAAGCATTGGGGTATAATGTAATGGTATGTATAGTAATTTCCGAAAATTACAGAATGACACATGAAAAGCGCCGAAGGAGGGTGTCTAACGGGCCGGGTATAACCCTAACCGGACCGGCCCAGACCGGTTAAAACCGGAACCGGCCCCGACCGGTACAAGGGGGCCGGGTGGGGCTAGGTTAAAGGAGTAAGGGGGGTTGGTCCGTTCACCTATTTTCAATCGGTTAACCGGACCGGTCAAACCCGATCAACAAAAATATTGTAGAACCGGTTAAACCGGCCCGGACCGGACCGGCCCAGACCGGTTAAAGGCTATTTTTTTTTTTAAATGTTGATTANCTAGAATGAGGCGACAAACAAAACTTGTGGTTTCATGTAAAGAAGTATTGAAGGTAAAGCCATATACTGTGGTCTACACTGAGGAACGTGACGAAGATGAAGAAAGTGTGGGTTCTTCGTATCATGTTATTGTACAAGGCGAGACTGGTGTTCCGTCTTCGATGGAGGATAATGTAGAATTGGAGGATGTTTCACCGTGTTATCACATATCCTTCAACGATGGGGACCCTCAAGTAGGGGTGTCTAACGCGCCGGGTTTAATCATAACCGACCCATACCGGTATAAGGGGCCGGGTGGGGCTGGGTTAAAGGGGTAAGGGGGGGTTGGTCCGTTCACCTATTTTCAACCGGTTAACCGGACCGGTCAAACCCGGTCAACAGAAATACTGTAGAACCGGTTAAACCGGCCCGGAACGGACTGGCCCAGACCGGTTAACAGCTAGGTTCTTTTATTTTTTAATTTTTTTGAATGTTGGTTACTGTTGGCGACGGTCACCTGCCAAGGAGCCGTTGCCCGACGGCCAATTTGCACAATTAGCCCTTTTTTTTAAAATTAACACTTTTTGTAATTACAAATTTAACCCTTTGAAAAACTATAAATACACCCCCTCCCTCTTCTTCATTTCTTCACTCATCTCTCATTTTTCAAACTCAAATTTTCAATTCAAGTTAAATCATGCCCCGTACTTCTAGAGTGCGCTTATATGTTTGGGAACACTTTGAGGTGGTAGAAGAAAATGAAGAAGTTCAGAAAGTAAAGTGCAAGAACTGTGGTCGAGTTTTAAATCTTCGTCCAAAGTGTGGCACAGGCAGTTTAAGGAGGCATATGAAGAGTTGTCTTGAGCGTCCTCCAGAAATTCGTATTTAAGTTGATTTGAGACAATTTGTGTTATTTTAAAATTATTAGATGTATTTATGCTTAATGTTTTAGTTTGTTAGATTAATTTGAAAAAGTATTATTATGCATGAAAATTTAGTTTTACTCTTTTTTTGTTAATTTACTTGTTAAATGGAAACTTCAATTTTGTAATTTTGAAATAAATATAGCACTTGCAATTTATAAGTACAATTTTTTCCCATCTTCATTGTATTCTTTGTATCTTTACTTTATATTAATATAACTTACAATAGTTATACAAAATACAAAAAAAAAATAAAAAATTACACTAACCCGGCCCGCCCCGGCCCCTTGTACCCGTAACCCGTACGGTTCATTTTTTACCCGGATGAACCCGAACCCGTTAAACCCGGTAAGCCCCAACCCGTAACCGGCGCGGAACCCAACCCGTACGGTTACTAAATTTTCCTACCCAGCCCATCCCGGCCCACCCGTTAGACACCCATAATTCAAAGCAGGAAACACACTAAAAGAGTATAATCATTGGTCGTAACTTGAGATGGCAAACGGTGTGGGCGGTGTCGTTACGAGGCAAACTCGCGAAGGCTTCTACCCGCACCTCATAGCATAATCTACTATTTTCAATCCGCCCCACCCCGCATGAATCCGCCCCACACCACCCCGCATCCCGCTTAAATTCTTTTAGTTTTTCTGAATGAATTTGATAGTAAAATATGAGCGTCATAAAATTTCTTTTCATTTTTTTTGTTTGTAGTATTAAATTAATTTAAAAGTTTTTAACCATTAATTAAAAAAAAAATATTCCCTCCGTTCACTTTAATTGTTCACTTTGGACTTTTCATGCCCCTTAAAAAATAATAAATATAGTACGTATTTTACCATACAACCCCTAATAATGATAGCCTTTCAAAAGATTGTCGGGAAATAAGGTTGAAAATGAGTAATTAATGATAAGGATAAAACAGAAAATAAATATTATCTTTCTCTTGATTTAGTATAGTGGACAAATAAAAGTGAAAGAAGGGAGTACATGTTCAAGATGTTCTAAATGCTATCATAATTTATTAAGTATATTTTATTGATGAATTATGGTATTTGGGAGTGAAGCCATGATTAGGATAAGCAGCTAATTAAATGAAGAGACCATGACCTTAGTTTACTAAACTACGGCAAGAGACGTGAACTTGCTTTTGTGGGCAAATACAATGAGCAAAGAAACAAAGGGTTATACAATTGCTTTGAGAAATTTTCTATTAATTTGTTGAGGTTGAAATTATCACAATAAAGTAGGTATTTCTATGCAGAGGAGACGAGAAACAGTGCAGGCAAGCAAAACAGCTAATTTTTCCAGATCATTAAGAGAACAATCAGAAATTTTAAGCTAAAAGTTGTTTACTAAAAGCTTACTGCAACTTTTCAGAAAAAATTACAGACATAAAGAGCCGAGAGACGAAGAGCAGAGGCCGAAGAAAATTAGCAATAGCTTAAAAGTTTTCACTTGTGAAAAAAATATAAATCCTAACCCGCACCCGCGCAAAGTTAAAAAAAAAATTATTTGCACTGCCCCGCACCCGCACCGCCCCATTGGTGTTAGAACATGTGCAGCGGAAGCAAGCATACAATCCAGGCATCAAATACATGTAAACTAGACAACGCAATAATAACGAGATTAGAAGCACTAACCTCTTGAAGTAGTTGCACAAATCCTCCAAACAGCAAGAATCCAGAGCTGCAGTCTTCTGCTATTTGCCTAGTAAAACCTTAGACGATTTTGGATTTGGGTGGGCAAGAACAATACAACTAAAAGGTAAGTTATTAGGTGAAACTACTCTTCCTTTAATAGACCCGAAATTAAGCCACAATAGGAACTCAAAAACGTGTGGTATTCTGCAAGTATAATCCTACTCTAACTCAAAAGAATAATTTTTCTCCCAAGCTACTTTTTACCCAAGTTTGTCCAGGTTTTTACTAGGTATAGCAGGGACCACAGAAATAATAAGGGGCTACTAATTATAGTATTAATTCGAAATTAGCATGAATTAATTCTTACTATAATTAATTGCAATTTATTCCACTAAAAAACTGCAATTGAACTCCTCAATATGAATTTCGAAAATTCATTAACACTTATTTTAGCTCCGCATGTTAAGATTTCAAATATCAGTTAATTAAATTAAATCACTGAAAATTTATTTCAATTAACTAATTAAATCCTTTATAATTCCGCTTAAACTATTTCATGTGACGGATACAAAATCCACCGGCCGGGTTTTCACATGAAAACTTATATAAGCTTACATAAAGGGGTATCATCAAACCCAAAACCGAGTCATGGATTCTATCAACTAATTATTATTCACAAATGTTATTCGTTATTGTCCAATCTATTAGGCATACACTAACTCTAAATAGAGTCGTACCTTTTTATAAATCAAAACAATAAACAAATTACATTGAACATAATAATTATATCAAGATTAGGTGTATAAGCTCATTTAATGAATTAGAGAAAATATTTTATATATTCAGTACAAAAACATCTTTTCTCTACTTGGTCCCTTCAATATATACGGAGTATACTAGCACAAGAAGTTGGAGTAAAACTACTCCCATAATCAAGACAAATTATACAATAATCTTGTGCTACAATCATCAAGATATTTTGTCCAACAATATCTTTGATTGTGCGCATAGTTTATTAATTATGAGAACCAACAATTTAATCTTATGTGCACGAGCTAAGACTCCATACACTAAATTGTCTACTACATAATTAAAAGGACACACATGTAACAAATGATCTATTTAAAATAGTACTTTATTGAATTGAATAAATTAAATAAACAATTGTTCCATAAAAAATAAAATATGATACTATGTCTAAACCGCATGGTTAATAGTATATCCCAATAGTTGGCATCCCTAGGACTCAAACCGGTAAAAGGGGCTAAAGGGGATATAAGAAAGCCATTAATTTGCTTAATTATGACTGATTAATTTGACTGATTAAATTTTTAGGTTTCATTTTGTTACTGATAATGGGATATTACTACTACCCTGTTTTGCAAGTGACTAAATGAAATCGTTACCAGTGTGCGTTAATGCATTTATGTAAAGCTCGTGTTCAGGATTAAACTATAAATAAGACCATTCCAAACATAACTTAGAAACATTGTTTTCAATTTCTTTTTTGGCTGGGGAGGGAGAAGGATAAAACACGCGCACACGCACACATACAGAAAATTGAGCATGAAAAACTGGAAAAGACTTCAAAGAGATCCACCATAGTCAAATCCCATCAATATTACGTTACATCATAATACGGTAGTAAAGTAAAAATGATGCTTTTCTCTTTCTGCTAACTTATTGGATATGAAATTTAGCTCGATAATTACTAGGCAGCAAATTTAGGAGCTTCCCTGTGCTTGAGAATCTTTTTCTCGAGCTCATCTTTCTTAGCCCCGACCACCCTCTCTACTTCCTTGCCTTGCTTCAGCAGCAAAAATGTTGGCATAGCTTGCACTCCAAACTCTTGTGCTACATCCTATTTTTTTAAGCACCAAAGAAATATAATCAATCACTTCAATCATAGCTGGATCTAAATTTTTAAATCAATTTCTATTTTGCCGTAAAAATATGTATATTGTTAATTATTTCAGATTTCACGTACTGAGAGCTCATCGACGTCAATTTTGACGAAGTCAACGTCGGTATAGTTGGCAGACATGGCGTTAATAACCGGTTCCATCATCTTGCAGGGCCCACACCATGTAGCCGCAAAATCCACAACTATCTGGGAATTAGGTTAATCGATCGAAATCAGATCTCTCAAAATTAAACCCTAAAATTTGCAAAACGCGAATAGATATTAGAGTGATACCAGTTTATTTAATTGCTTGGAGGAGTTGAAGTGAAGTTGCCACCGATTGGAAGAATGAAAAGCAATCACACGCGACTGTTCTGACGACGATCCTGATTCTGCCTCTGCCGCTTCCGCCGCGCCTCCGCCGAGCAAACTTGAAAGATACGATCCCATAGGATTCTTCACACTCTCTCTCTCTCTCCTTACGCACAAAGTAGTCAAAATAGGGAAGAAACTATAATAATATAAAAAAAAAGTACAATAGCGCTGCTTTTATATTACGCGCAGCTCCTAATGTTTTCCTTTAGCTTAGTTGTCACAATGCTATTGGTGTTGCGTTTTTCCTTTAAAGGGTGTGAATGGGAATTGGAAGATACACCTTTTGGATTGCACCTCTCCATCTCACCATTTCTTTGTCTATAAATTTAGAGGTTTGGCCTCATTTTTAAGATATGGAAAAATCTGAAAATTTCTCCCCTTTTTTCTATTGCATTATTTTCAAATAAACATAAGTGTCAAGTGTGACTTGCTCCGTCTGTTGAGTTCGCTGAAATTCTGTAGTTTCGATTGCCAGTATTGCAGAATAGTTATTCCGTTCTATCATTGGAGGAATTAATCTAAAACCTTAGGCAACAGTGAGGGGATTAAATTCCTTAAGGACACACAACCAACTTGTGATTATTTTTTTTTTCTGTTTTTGTTTATTAAACTAATGTTTCTCTGCTTTTCTGATTTTCTGATTTCGAACACAGTATTTCCAATAATCTTAAGGAATTTAACTATACAACAGAGAAAAATTGAGAAGCAAACAAATATTGAGGTGGAAAAAATTATGTCTTCGGTGGTGAGAAGAGCAAGGCAGATGCCTTGAAAATTGCCATTAGTGGTTATTCTTTGGCGTCTGTACATGAAAGGACGCTATTAGTTGCATTTCAAGATATAAAGTCTGTTGTTTTGAGTTTCTCAAAACCCAGGGAGTCTTTAGTATCTTTTTTATATGTTGTGATCAGAAAATAAATCTTTTGCGTCAGAGTGATTGTTAGTGTATATATATTTCTCTTTCACTCTTGACAATGGGTGATTATTAAATTTTAGAAGTTTGCCCTAGAACTTGGAAGTGGACGTATTTACTTGTCAGTACCGTACCTAACAAATTTTCCATCTTTTATTACAGAAAACGATGGACCAAATCATGGGAAATATACAAATCTTTCTATAAAGAAAGAATAATGTGGCATGGACTTCTATGAAGGATACAACTACTAACTGAAGGAGAAGGAATACAAAGTACTTGAATTTATTTATGTAGAAGAAGCAAGGCTCTCCATCCACTTTGGTATCTTCTTAAAAAATCGGAATCTTTCATAATTGATACGTGAAAGTTATAGATTCATGTGACGACTCTAATATTAGATCTTCCTTTGGGATTATAAGATATAGATGATGTTGTGGCTTACTCCAAAGTCGTTGAAATAATCACAGTGAGAAAGAGTCGGTTAGTCTTAATGGTTTGTGAAAATTAGATATTAATATGAAATTTTCTCAAACATGGTCAAAAAAAGTGTTACAAGTCAGTAAGGTCCTGTTAGGGGCGGTGACATTGATTTATCATATATATGACAAGAGCGACAACGTCAAAGCAATGAGTCTTGAAGAAAGTAATAAAATCGGGTTTTATTTTTTAACTACGTTTTTATTAATTTAAGAATTTCGACCCTTTGTGTTTATGATGAAATGCAATTGATATAAATGTTAGGGTGGATATTTATTACATCATGATCTCATATAATATATTTGGAATTATATGTATGAGTAGGAATAACATGTGTTTACGATTAATGTTGTTATTCCTTGACCAAATGATTTTGTATAATTTGTTAAGATATGCAATTTGGGGACATGCATAAATATATATGGTTGTAAAACATGAATTAAGCTTGCAGTAATACTTAAAGTATTTTTGAGATAGTGAATATATTATATGTAAAGATGAACATATACGTGTTTGATTAGAGAAAGAGATTAAACTGTTTAAAGTGTTATAATGGTTTAGATGAAAAAAATTATTTGGAAAGGGAATTAAAATTCTCGTGATTTTCTACACCCATTATGGAGAATAAAATCTTTGTGATTTTCTACTCCCGCTTCGAGATCAAAATCTGCGTGATTTTTTACTCGTTCGTTGAGATTAAAGTCTTCGTGATTTTCTACTCATTTGTCGAGATTAAAGTCTAATTGACTTTATACTCGTTTTGGAGATTAAAATCTTATTGATTTTCTACTCCAATTTATTATTCGGTTTGAAGATTAAAAAAAATTCACCGTTTATTAAATTTGATTGTGTCACATATTATTCGGTTTGAAGATTAAAAACTTCACCGTTTATTTGATCTAGTTATATCAGATGTTACTCGGTTTGAAGATTAAAAACTTCACCGTTTATAAATGTGTCAGATTGGTTTGAAGATTAAAAAATTTCACCATTTATTAATTCTGGCTATGTCGTGACACAAACAACAATTCTTGTGGTTGGCTCAACAACGTAATAGGGGCGTTGAATATGAATCTCCTTTTGAAGAAATATGTTTGGAATATGAAATTATTCACCAAACGATCACCCTTTAGTTACCGCAATCTAATAGATTGCGGAAAGAAAGAATAGAACGTCAAAGGAGACAATGAATGCCTAGTTGATAAGTTCTGATTTACCCAAAACTTGTGGGGGGAAGCTATGCTTACAGCTTACCGAATACTCATTCACGTACCCCATAGCAAGATATATTCCATTCCATATAAAAGAAAATGGAAAAGAAGAAAACCCCACTTGAAATATTTCCAAGTGTGGGGGGTATTTGGGTAAAGTGTAAGTTCTTAAACCCAAAATCAGATTGAACACCGTTGATTCCGTCTGATAAGATATGTAACAAATAGTAAAGCATATCGTTTTTCGATTCATAAATCGTAAAATCCCGACATTCATATTAATACGGTTATCGAATCAGATAATGTTGAATTCTTTGAGAATATTTATCCGTATAAAAAAAAGAATGTGAGTCGTCTAGTGAAATATCTAAGCGAAATCGGGAAGAAGCAAAAGAAAGTACGTTGAATTAGAAAATTCCAAGATATAGTAAACGTCAAAGGATAACTACTTTCTTTGGACCGGATTTTCTGACATTCTTGTTGGAAAATGAGCTTCAAACGTTTAAAAAAATATTGTCTTCCTAGGAAGCACAATATTAGAAGAGGCAGTCAATAGTGAGATAGAATCTATATTAAGTAATCATACTTGGGAATTGGTTGATCTTCCTCCAGGAAATAACCTTTGACATCTACGTGGATTTTCATAAAGGAAATGAAAGTTGATGGTACTAATCAAAAATATAAGGTGTTAATAGCGTTAGCCGCCGTGTATGGCCTTAAAATCCATCAGATGAACTTAAAGACAACCTTCCTTAATGGAGATTTGGAGGAAGAAATTTATATGGAACAACTTGAAGGGTTCGTGGTTCCCGGAAAAGAAAAGAAGGTGTGTCGACTTGTTAAGTCACCCAAACAATGACATGCGAGATTTGACCAAATAATATTGTCAAAATGGTTTCAAAAATTAATGAGTGTAAACAAATGTGTTTACATTAAGAATACTTCAAGTCATATAGTCATTATTTTGATTATATGTAGATGATATGTTGATGAAATATTTAAAATGTGGTGGCTTTGAGCTTATGCATGACAAAAGCCAATGTTAGATGTAATGTCTAAATGATATAATTTTTGAACCCTATTGATATAGTAGTTGTTAAATTCATCAGTTGTTTAGTCTTAATGAAGACTAGTTGATAGAAACTACTAATTTGGAAGTTGGTCACGTGTCTTTCTCGAAAGATCATTTTCTTTATTGAAAATTTATATTGTTTAGTTCTTTTATGAAATGACGTCACTTTGAAGGTTGTGACTTTTCATAGAAAGATACGTCTGTACGTTTTTGTATGGACATGACCGTTCATGAACGAATGTATTAATATGTTGGTTTATAATGAGGCGAACCAACCGATGAACATGACCAAAATCTATTGCAAGTTGGATTTGTTTCATAAATAAAGGTGCTATAATTTACATATCATATAGATGTATGAATAAATAGCATACAAATGCTTGAAAATGACGGAATGATTGATAAATGTGTTATATATTAAAAAGTTGTGGTCACAACTGATGCCAATCATTCCAGCTGTTGTTTTAATATACTATTACTACATTAAGTGTAGTCAATAATATGATATGCAATCGAAAGTCGAGACGTATTAGTCTACAACATAAGAAAGTTTGCATTGAACGTTCATGACAATGAAACGAGTTTTGAAGTATACTCCAAATTATGTTTTGCACTACAATAAGTATCCCGCGATAATAGAGGGGTATAGTGATGAAAATTAGATCACCGGTTCAACCGATTCTAAACAGTTGGTGGATGAGCGATGTATTGAAAATCGTCCAAACAAATGTGCATTGATCGCGCTACAGTGGAGGCTGAGTTTATAGCCTTAGACAAGGCCGGTGAAGAAGCTGAATGGCTCCGGAATTTCTTGAAAGATATTCTATTTTTGCCCAAACTTTTGGCACCTATATGTAAAGATTGTGATAGTCAAGCGACAATAGGAAGGGTTGGGAGCGTTATGCATAACGGAAAGTCTCGTCACATAAGACGCAGACATAGAACCGTTAGACAACTACTTTCTAGTGGAATTATCACAATTGATTATGTAAAATCAAAGGATAATGTGGCGGATCCGCTTACTAAAGGCCTAACTAGAGAGGGAGTTGAGAAATCATCTAAGGGAATGGGACTATGGCCGAGGACAAGTCATCATGGCGGTAACTCTACCTAGATTTTGGAGGTCCGAGATCTAGGTTCAAGGAGCGCAAACAAAGTTATGCATGACCGGTTCAACATTGTCAAATATAATATTTTAGTTCATTCTCGTGATGAAGACAATGTTCAGTAACAAGGATAAAATGTTAAGACATTTTTTAATGGTTTCTAAGTTTGATACAGGGTATATCAAATAGTGTATCTACGGGATAACACGTTTAGGAATCACCTATTTAAGTATGAAGTGTAAGCCGCTTCAAGGAGAATTCTGTAAGGCCAGTTCTCTACGCACTTATGAACCAAGTGGTGTTCATGGATGAAACGAACACAACAATGAGAACCAAAGACGGTTAAGGGTTGATTATGTGACTTATGGTTGTCTAGGTATACACCAAAGCTCGACGGTTCAAAGATATCAAATCTACCGATTGACCGAGTATATCCGACATAAGT